GAGAGAGAGAGAGAGAGAGAGAGAGAGAGAGAGAGAGAGAGAGAGAGAGAGAGAGAGAGAGAGAGAGAGAGAGAGGCCCTCGCTGATGCACGACTTACAAAGCCGTCGCTGTCGTGTAGCCGATAGGCTTCAGATGGCGACGGTGTCGATGTCATCATTCTCGCGGCCGTTGCTGTATGTGTACGTGTGTGTGTGTGGCCTCTCTCTCTCTCTCTCATCAATCGATGAAGTAAACGAGAGAGAGAGAGAGAGAGAGAGAGAGAGAGAGAGAGAGAGAGAGAGAGAGAGAGAGAGAGAGAGAGTATTTTGTATCTTTTTCTTCATTTTCCCGTTCTCCTACAACAAGGATACGTTTTCGTTTCCAGTCTGCCACCTGGCAGAGAGAGAGAGCCACGGTATGACGACGGCTCGTTCTCTCTTTTTCTCTTCTCTCCCCTCCCCCCCCCCTTCCCCCCCCTCTTCCGCCTGACCCGCCCTCCCAGGTCCCTTGGACCGCGCTCCGCCCACCCTCCCCGGTCCCTTCGCTCTCCCGTGTCTCCCTTCCCTTCCCTCCCACTGCTAGTAGGCTGCTACCCCTTCCCCTCCCTCCCGCTGCTAGCTACCCCTCCCCTTCCTCCGCCGGGGGGCTACCCCTTCCCCTCCGTCCCCCTGCTACCCCTCCCCTTCCTCCGCCGGGGGGGGATCAATCCATCCATGAGCAGCGGGAGAGACGAAGAGAGAAAAGTTTTTCCTTCACTTTCTTTTCTTCCTTTTGTTTTGCCTGCTTTATTATTTTATTTTTAGTAGTACTATTATTATTGTATTATGATACAAGTATTATCACTATTATCACTATTACTTTCTTTTTGATATTATTACTATTTCGATCCGCGGAACGTTGCAGGTCGATGCGTAGGCAGCGACGGCCAACGGGTGTGGAGGGGCGGGGCCAGACACACACACAGAGAGAGAGAGAGAGAGAGAGAGAGAGAGAGAGAGAGAGAGAGAGAGAGAGAGAGAGAGAGAGAGAGGTTTCCCTGGTTCGCCTCTTCTCTTCTTCTTGAGAGAATATTGTCTCCCTTTGGATTTTTCTACTCCCCTCTTGCTATTTTTCTTCCGGTTGTTCCGTGTGCGTGTGCCGCGTTTCACCTATGGATGAGTAGCCAAGAGAGAGAGAGAGAGAGAGAGAGAGAGA